AATTACAACTACAAATGGAATGTGCCTTTGCTAATTACTGTCATTTTTAATCTCTAGTACACTTGGAATACAAATGAAATTTATCTCTTTAAGTCCACTATGGCCTTTGCCATGCGCCAGTACTATCTGAAAGAAAAGCGAATAAAAATGGATTTCATGTGAGTATCATCTCTTTTGTCCTCCGCTAATTGCACATTTCAGAGTTTGATTGAATAATTTTCATTGTGAAATTGTGACCTTTCACAACATATTTGTTGCACACAGGCCAGAGAATATCAACACATACAATGAAACGGCCAGAATCTCCTTTTATTTTGTTGTGATGGATCCAACCAAACCAGACACACTCATTCCTAAGGCAGATGTAGAGGCAGCTATCTGGTATTTATTAAAACCATACTATATAAAAACATTAAATATTGTGTATAATAATTTTTTTAATTTAGAATCATTATTTTTAAATATATATTATAACCATAATAATATAAAATATTTTTAAAATAATTATAGATTGCATGAATATTGGGTGCCATGACATAATTAAGAGGAACTTGTAGCAGTTGTTCCAGTGACAGAATTTCCCTTATTATCTCTTCACAGGCTGTCCAGAGAACGCATCAACGGTGCATTTTTACTCAATGATGAAACATTGGAATTTGTTGGGCTGCAGGCAACATTAGCTCCGCCCAAAGAGGAAAAAATTACAGTTTGGCTGGTGGTATTTGGAGTGGTAATGGGTGTAACTGTGTTTGGGGGGATCTACCTCATTACAACAGGGATATTAAACAGGAAGAAGTAAGTACAGCAGGGGAAACACCTCATGAATGATTGAAAGCAGCTAGAGTCAGTTTAGTGACAGTGAAGATTATGCCATTCTTGTCCATATTAAACACTGACATGTTTGGTAGAACTGCATCATCATAGCTATGTGGACAATATAAAAAAGATACACAAAGTGCATCCAAGTTACACATTATAATAATTCATTTCAACAGAAATAGTAAAATATTGGCTTAAAAAATTTGATTAAAAAAAAACATGAAGTAAATCCACACAAGGTTTGACCACAAGTGTGGTATTGAATTTCTTACATTTGTAAAACTTTTTCTTTCTTTTTTACAGGAAAGCTAAAAACGCTGATGAGACTGTGAACCCATATGAGAATTCAGATGATGGAGAAGTGAACAAAGCCTTCGAGGAAGACATTGAACAAACAGGACTGTAAAGAAATAGGTGTTTCCACAAATAATATCAGAAAGGAGAGCGATGAAAAAAGTGTCTACACCACTGCATGCTTTTTGGAAACATTTTGTTTTCCAATAGAAGACAAATCCAATTTCTGGTGTGTTTGCAAATGTTTATTTAAGTACATTATGTTAAAATTATAATTATAATAAGATTAATTATAAAGTTTCTCTAATGAATTAATTAGAGAATTTTCTATTAGCTTATACAGGCAAATGTAAATACATTTTAATATTATATAAATATATTTTGATTAAAAAAAAACATGAAGTAAATCCACACAAGGTTTGACCACAAGTGTGGTATTGAATTTTTTACATTTGTAAAACTTTTTCTTTCTTTTTTACAGGAAAGCTAAAAACGCTGATGAGACTGTGAACCCATATGAGAATTCAGATGATGGAGAAGTGAACAAAGCCTTCGAGGAAGACATTGAACAAACAGGACTGTAAAGAAATAGGTGTTTCCACAAATAATATCAGAAAGGAGAGCGATGAAAAAAGTGTCTACACCACTGCATGCTTTTTGGAAACATTTTGTTTTCCAATAGAAGACAAATCCAATTTCTGGTGTGTTTGCAAATGTTTATTTAAGTACATTATGTTAAAATTATAATTATAATAAGATTAATTATAAAGTTTCTCTAATGAATTAATTAGAGAATTTTCTATTAGCTTATACAGGCAAATGTAAATACATTTTAATATTATATAAATATATTGATGTATTTTTTATACTATGAAAAAATACCCAATGCTATGGTATAACAACCTAAAATTGTCAAAGGAAATGATGTTGACACATTCTGAATAAAATACAATAAGCAGATTTTGTGGTCTCACTCTCACTCAAAGACAAAGCAACTGCTGGATGCATTATTGCCTCTTTGCATTTTCACATCATTATCATTTATAGTGTGAATGAACCATCCTCTGTGGAGCGCTGACTCAAAATACCGGAGACCATCCCGCTTTTGAGACATGAAGAAAATGAGGGATAATTTTTCTGGGTCATCTGTAGAAATGTGTATCTTTTTTCTGTCATACATCTGAAATAAACATGATAAAAGTTGGTTTGCTGAAGTTGAACAGGAAGACCCTGCTGTATTTGAGCACAATATACTTATATTTTCGCAACTTGTAGAGCAATGCACTGCTACAACCTTAACAAAACACAAATGCAAAATCAAGAAACAGAGATTATTGAAAACTTACTTTAACTGTTAAAATCTTTTCCTCTCCTCGGCTGGTGCAGGAGAGGAAGTTATCTGTGCCTGTGAAGTTCAGCACAATGGGAACACCTGATTCACTGTCATTGGTGACCATGCCACGGAAGGTGCCATGAAAGACGGTCATTTTTGCTGAAAAAAAAAAAAAGAAATTTGTGGAAAATGTCATTTTAAAATAACAATAAACGAATAGCACTGCCACAAGGAAATAATAAAAATACGATGTTTCCTAAAAACATAATTTTTATTATTTGATACAAACCTGACATCGTACTCTCCAAACATATCTCATTTTGTCTTGATGCAACATACTTGCATCCTTTGAGTGTCTTCAGGAATAAACTGTTTTGTTCTTTAATCACTTTCCAAATTTGTGCAGATACTGAAAAAGGCAGCAGGATATTACAACCAGAAAGGAATGGAAATTTCAACATTAGATCATTCCAAATGAATAAAAATGGAGATGGATAAATCATTTTTATATAAAAAAGTTTTAAATAAATTGAAAACTTACTATAGGAAATATCAGCTTTCTCAGACGTGATCACACTTTCTTTTAACTGCCAATCACAGTTGCAGAAAGAGTTGTCAGCATCAGAGACTTGATCAACAACCAGATTCAAGCTCATGTTAGCCAGGGAATGAAGCAGATTGTCATCAGCAAAACAGTCATCCTCAATGTCCTTCTCTTCCCAATCTGGTTGTGGATGTGATGGCTTCTGAAGCCCACCCATCTCAGTATCTTCAATCGAGATACTGAGTTTTATGAATTTCAACTTTTTATTGCATCGGGTGTCCTCAGATTCACACTCTTCTGTTTTTTCAGTGCTCGGATGATGTACATTCTATGAGAGGAGACTATTTGCTTTAGTGCAGTTAAAGAACATATTTGTTTCAAACACCAACCAGAACACGTGGCCACATGATCATTAAGTTTCCTGACTAGACAGAAAGGGCGCACTAGACATTTCAGTTTCATTTCTCTTTCTTGTAACATTTAAACAGGTTTAATGAACAGAGAAGTGAAAGAGCGCATTAAGTTAAAGTGAACTAGAAGATCAGAAAATGTCTCTATTTTTGCATCTCCCTTATGCTGAAAAATTAGGGACTAATTCGCTAATATAGACATTGATCAATTGCTATATATTTAAGTATGTTTACATCAACTACAAAATAACAGAGTGCTACGAAAATGCTTACCTCTGCTGCCATGTTGATCTCAATGCTTATCAAAAAGATGTGCGAGCCTTGCCTCTGAATGGTGCTTTTTTTAATCTCGGTAGCCTTCTTTTAGCAGGAAGAGGAAGTTGTGAGACACGGTATACCACAGCGTAAGGTTTTGGTGGGAAAATTGAAGGTTTGTTGTCGGGGAAAGTACAAAAGTTCAAAAATTCGAAGGGTTGGACAAAATTGGCTCTTTGCATCAATACCAAAACAAATTCAGCAGTAATTTCAAACTTTCACTCATTAAGGCTAAAAGGAATGAGGTAAGAAAACATAATCTGTTTTGTTAAAGTGTGAACGTTATGACAACCTGAGAAATGGTTAATGGAGGTGGAAAAGTTCACAGTTTGGGTTTTATATTTGTATACGTGGGGATATTCCTAACACTGGGGCGTTATTATTGAAGGGGAAGCACATAAGAAATGAATCATTGTGTTGCGGCAAAAATAAAAAGCATTGGCTTATAACCAGTTATAACTAGTTGGCTCATAACCAAAGATGATGCAATTCTTGCTCATAGCACATTTTACATTGGAATTACATCATAGGTCACTGACAGTTATGACCTACAATACAATAACATTTCATTCATGATTTAATCAAAATTTTGAATACAAAACAACTAAATTAAACATTTTCCTTAGAATTAGTACAATTAATTTAATAAGGTAAAATTAAATTTAAAAATAGAGCTGTGAGTAGATTTTTTAATGTAATTAAGTAATCGCATAGGTTTTTGAGATTAATCGCGATTAATCACACCTAAAATTTGTAATCATAAATATGTTTACACACTAAACTGAATTAGAATCAATATAAAGTACACATAATTGAATTAACATGTGTTCAATGACATTCTTTCAGGAAGTGTAAAAAAAGATTTATATTTATTTTATTATAAAATATATGAAATCAAATTGTAGGTCTTTGTTACACATTGCAGTTACTAATGAATTTCATATCCGAAGAAAAATAAATATGTGCAATTACAAGCAGCTCTTCAAAACATTGCCAATATAATTTAGCAACTTTGGATAAAAGCATCTATGTTAATAAGTGACATCATTCTGTAAGAAACATCATTTTATGAAGTATAACCATAACAACAGTACCACTGGAACTGTGTTGTTGGATGAATCTGAAACACTTACTGAACTTGATTCACAACTTTTTATTGTGATTTTATACACTCTCAGAAAAAAAGTTACAAAAGCTGTCACTGGGGCGGTACCTTTTCAAAAATTACACTTTTGTACCTTTTAGGTACTAATATGTACACTTTAGGTACTTATCTGTATTTTCTGAGAGTGTAGAATAATACACAAACACATGTTAATATGGTAAATGATACATTTATGCAGCAAAAGCAACAGTTCAAAGTTGTTAGTAGCTTTCAGCTTATACAAGCAAATGTAGCCTAAATAACAGTTGATAATATAAATACAGGAATTACATTTTGCAAAGATTTCTTTTCAATACTATAAAAAAAGCATAATGTTTCAGCACAAAAAGTAACTATGAACAGTTAGAAATAAAAATAAATATGAATTACACGTGTTGGTTTAAAAACATCAGTTTAAAATGAGCTGAATATAAAAAAGATGGCTCTTATAAAAAAAAATGTAATCTAATAGTATGATACATATCTACTCACTACTGCGATGGCAGTAAAATATACCATTCTTTGGAAGAGGCTGCATGCGCTAAGACAACCTTAACTTTAAACTCATCCAAAACATGTATATTGAAATGTAAGTTAATTTGAGGACAATTCCTGGCTTCCCAGCGATAATATAAAGACCTTGAAATCCATGAACCTTTCTAACTCAGAATTATGAATGAGAAGGCACGGTCTTGTTTACTGTCAATCTGATCTCCCCTATGCATGTCCACTACTCTACTATCTATGCTTTGTGTGTAAATAAACCATCCTCTATAAAGAGCTGACTCAAAACGCCGAAGATTGTCTGGCCCAGAAGACATGTAGAATACAAGAGACCATTTTTCTTGGTCCTCAGGACAGATGCTTTTCAAGTCCTTTTTATTATGGCTCTGCAAACAAAACAAAACAAAAGTCTAGTTTCAGCTTAAAGGAACAGTTCATCCATAAGTTCCCCATAGGAATACAGTGCATAAGTCACACTTATAATAAAACATTAAAATGGTGCCAAGATGCATAAAAACCTAATAAAAACACATCCTAATAATACACCTTCAAAAAAAAAGAAAACTTACCACGAGTGTTAAAATCTTCTTATCTTCACCTTGCTTGGTGGTACAGCAGAAGAAGTTTTCTGTGTCGGTGAAGTTCAGTACAACAGGAACACCTACACGGCCCATGGTGGCAGTGTAATAGTAGAGGGTGATTTTTGCTAAAACAAAAAGTATTGCAAAATGTATTTCAGAATATACTTGGATCAAATCAAAACAAAGAATCATATTGTTGTAAGCCAAAAAAAATCATTTCAGTTACAAATTAATATTTGCACTTCTAAAATTTTTCATTTGATTGCAAAAAAGTATTTACAAAATTACATTCTAATATAATTAATGAATATATACAGTACATTTATATAAACTTTACTGTGTATTTGTCACGATCACCAGCTGGAGTGCCCTGGACATCCGCCAGATGACACTCTTCCCCACTCAACCCTGGACTCCATTTCCCACAATTCTTTGCCCAGTCTCATCTGCTGTTTGCCCCTCTGCTTTGTTTTTGTCATGGTTCCCCTTGTTAGTTCCCATGGTGTTTAACTAGCTCCTCCCCCTTATTACCTTGTTATCCTGTTTGTCTCTCCCTATTTATACCCTGTCTATTTCCCTGTGTCCTTGTGAAGTCTTGTATGTGTTATTACTGCATTTCTGAGCGTGCTATTGTTTATCTGTTCCGTGGTCTTGATCCCTGCCTGTTTTCTGGATTACACTGTTTGCCTGAGTTTCCTGCCTGGTGTTTTGGGTTGGATTGTTTAGCCCGTGTTTATGACCTCTTGCCTGTTTATTGGACTATGGCTTTGGATTACCCCTTAATAAATAATGCATTTGGATCTTCAACCTGTAGTCTCCGAGCAGTTTGTAACAATATTATTATTATATTTTATATTTATTACCAACCTGACATGGTATCCCTCAAAAACATCTGCCGATTTTCTGGAGTGACATACTTTTCCATGACGAAACTCTTCAAGAACACATTATTTAGCTCATTAACCTGTTTTAAAATCCTTGAAGAATCTGGCAAAATAGGGGAAGAATATCACTTTAAACTCTCAAAAATAATTCACATTTAATTTTGCATGGGTTTTCCTTAAAGTCTGCAGGAACATTATTGTAGTGTTACTGTGGTATTACGTTTTATGAACATCAATTCTAACATTTAAGAACTTGAAAAAACTAAATATTAGTAGATTAAAAACTGATTGCACATTAAAAAACATAAATATGAAAATCGCAATGAAAGCAACATTCATTTCTTACTAAAGGTAACCTCAGCTGTCGCAGGCAGGACAACAACTTCGTTAAATTGGCAATTTATCCCTCCACAGCTGTTGCAAGGGCTGTCAGGGTCACAGCCCCGAGCAACGACCATACTGAAGCTTGTGTCAGCCATGGAGACAAGTAGAAGTTTGTCATCACTGAAAGAGTCATCCTCAATGTCTTTGCTTTCCCACTCTGGCAATGGTTCAACTCCAGTGGCTTCCAGATCTTCCTCTCTTACCATCATCAGGCTGAATCTCATGACTGTCGGCTCCTTTTTATGGACACTGATTTCCTCAGATTCACACTCTTCGGTTTTTCTTATGGGCGAATGGTGTATGGTCTAAGAGAGGAGATTACTGACCTCAGCACAGTTGATGTAAATAAAGTTAGCTCAGACAGGTGTTTTATTCCTCAAGCAGTTAAAAAAAACCCCATCATTATGCAATCTCTGGAATTTAATGTTTGAAAAACCCACACACAAGTCCATGTGACCAATCAAAGTTTGCTGACAAGTCAAAAAAAAAACAATCCCTGTGAAAACTTCAGTTTCGCTTCTCTCTCATGTTTCAATGGGTAACAGATAAGGAGGTAAGTGCATATGAGCATGTATTATAAATATAAAACTCACAAGTAAGGGGGATCCTGCTACCAGGAGCTCTGCAAATGCCCGCGGAGTCAAATCCTCCATATCTGTGTTATTTATCATTATAAGTTTATCTCCCTTGCTGAAAAAAGAAGTTATAGATGAATGAACAGACAACCAGACAGTTTAGATAGATAGATAGATAGATAGATAGATAGATAGATAGATAGATAGATAGATAGATAGATAGATAGATAGACAGATAGACAGATAGATAGATAGATAGATAGATAGATAGATAGATAGATAGATAGATAGAGATTAT